ACCCATGTACACTTTTCAAAACTTTAATGCTCATACATTTAACAACAATCAATTGTCCTTTTGTTTTTGTTTTTCTTTTAACTACCTGTGCTTCTTAAATTTGTATTCACTATAATACCATTATAATTAAAGAACAATGGCTCAGCTCGCAAACATTTTCTCAACAAATAATTCTCTATAACATGTAAAACTTACAACTTAGACCATGCAGTATTTATTTTTCATTCTACATATATGCTATTCATAAAGTAGTTTATTATCCATCAGTAAACCATATAAAAATCTCATAAATTACGCCAGTATCCATATTCATAAACCAGCTCGTCCATACTGACTATCCATGTCTCTCTCTGTGGAAGTTTGCATCCAGTCTTCTCCTGCTGTTTCCTTTTTTTTTCTTATGTCATCTGCTTATCTTTTTTTCTGCTGTCCTACGTTTCTTTTGTCTGTCGTCTCTGCCATTTTCTTATATATATATATATATGGCTTATAAATTTTTCATTTCATTATATGGCGTCCTACTATCCAATCAATCACAATACTATTTAAATGTTAAATAGGCATTACTATATGTATTTATACCTGTACATATGATACAATTTTCTTTTGAATCATTACTATTTATATATTTTTTTCTTCTATAAATTATACTGATACTGTGCTTGTGAATCACTGTTCATCCCAACGGATACCAACCTCTCACTTTCAATCTAAGTTACATTTGCAGTGATTAACTTGTGTTCACAATATATTGAGGATTTTTCCTATTCTTTTTTTTTTTTTTTACTTATATATTCCTGTCATAGCTATACCGAAATCACCATGCACTGTCCTCTACAGTACAGTAGATTCACAGAAGATAATTGGAAGCTTGCCACAGTATAGAAGTGCTATCTTCATAAAACCGACTAACTTCAGTCTCATCCTCTTTGGTAACAAAGTTATATTAAATAAAACAAACCACATGCTTATAAAGGCATAGCATAAAACACCAACAATCAGGAATTCTCATAAATATATAACGGTTGTATAGAATGGGAACGAATTTCCATGCATGGAAAGTTATGCAGCCTATTAATAACCACATTACCAAGGTCATCAGCAAAGTTTTCTAGAATATCCATATCTCTTTACTTTCCTAACAATCTTGTCTGTCTGTGTCTCATAATTTTCCTCTATAATAATTTTAAAGCTTATGTACTTTGAATATCTTAACATTGCCTCCCACAGAGACTATTTAATAATAACTAATTAATATACAGAAACTTCATTAGTCAAATCATAAAATATTTTATAATCCTGTAGTATACAAATACATAAAAGGTAAGTTACATAAACCATTTAAAAATAGTATCCAATTTTTCCTTTCTCCTCTATTTCACCATATCACAGTTTACATGTATTCACTTAATTCTCTCCCATCTGTCCATACCTATATACAACAAAAGAGTGCTATGCACTCATTTATTTCCATTTTCCTGCCATAATATCTGAATTATAAAGTTTATTATCCAAATTTCACAATTCTAGACCACACTGTTTGACACAATCCATGTGCTAACTTCAAGATGAGTTCATTATTAACTCGTGAATGCTTTAAATCAGTTATTATCATCTTCTGATATACATTTATTTATATTAATATTCAATAATATATTCTATATATTCTATTTTTTTTTTTTATTATCTGTACTTCACAAATATATAATACAATTTGAATTTAAACAATGATTTCCTCCTTGGTTCACATTTCAATTCCAATACAGATTTAACAATGAATCTGTCCACTTTATAGTTTCTTAGTACTGTCATTCTACAAATGACACTAAATAATAAAACTCAATGGATAACTTAAGCTCAGATCCTTGCAGCAAATCTTCAGTTCATTAGCTTATGCACTACACAAGATTGGACAATATAGCAATACATTGCAATATATTACAATAGTCTATTTTCATTATTGTGATAACAATTGTCGTATGTTGTACATATTCATATTATAAAATCATGACATTTTGTGCAATTTACTGTATGGAGAGTTATAACTCATCAAAAGGCAAATACTCTCACTGTTGCGACTCAATATATATATCCAAACATTCTGTATGTACACAAATATTAACTTATTTCCAAAAACTTTTATTCATATTCATAACACTAATAGTAAATTTAAAGACAAGCTTGTTGCTCAAGTATTGTTTAGAAAATTCAACAGGTTTCTTGTACAATCAATAATACAATCAAGAGCCAATAACATTCATTTCTGGAGTTACCAAAAGCTTTTCTTTAGGTTAAAAGACAACTTCATAAATTATAAAACTGAACCATGTAAGAATAGTCTTACCTGTAATCTATCACTTTCTAACATGTCACATATTAATGTGGTGCTTATAAATTCCAACACTCACTTACTAAACATTGTCTCAAATGACAAATGTACATAGCTACAGGTACCTGCACAGGACCTTTAAGTACCTTTATTGATCAACAATGGCTGCTAAGGGCCATTCTAATGAATTTCAAGAGAAGCATCAAAGAAGTGAACCAATTGCTCAAACATATAATACATTCAATCTGAGCATACATATAATATATAATTCCAGCATAATATGACACCTTTGAGGAATTGGATATCATTTCTAGGTGCTTTTTCAACACATTAATAATCAATATCATATGATTATGATAACCTTGAGGATCCTAATAGATCTCAATTGGATTTTATACTAAATAATGATTAAATAAGGAACTATTAATAATAATAGTTTACAGTTATTCGGTTTTTTAACATTGGAGTTTACTACCAATTGTTAGCCATTGCTATATATATAAAATTCAAAACACAGCAAGAAATAAATATAATAATTGTACTATCAGAGTTAAGTACTATTTTCACTGAGAGCTTCACAGCTAATCATGAGATAGCATCTAAAATGTCTTTAATATCTAATATTATGAAATATAACATGTTATGTTGCTGGTATCAGTTTATGTCAACAATATACTGTGTCTATCTATATTAATATGCTTTATTAATTCATTAATAAACACATATCAAAGTATCAACCAATATAATATATATACATATGACAGTGTCTCAATTTGGGAATATAACCACCATCAAGACATATACCTGGACTATGCCTGTGATTGTCATTTATCTGAAATGGGATCATCAAACATATATGTGTACCTATGTAAAGAAATAATAACAATTCTTCAATTCAATTCACGTAGAACAAACACACAAAACTGAACAGTAAGTTTGACTAATTTACTGTGAATTAGCAACAAACTCAGCAATACCATTACACTGTTTATATGTATAACATGGTATGTGTTCTCATGTTCAACCTGTATGTCAACATAGTTAATGTAACTGTTTCTAATCTGTTGATATCCTATCATACTCTATCATAGGCATTAATAACATAACAATAGTTACTCTGTATTTTAAACTAATTAGATAGCCGTGTTGTTCTATACTTAACGTATTCATAATACTTCTTTCTTAGGTATATTGTATACCTCAATATCGTGCTACATGTCATGTCATTACTCTCGCAAGTTATCGTACATACTAAATCTATTTAATATGTAGAAAGCAATTCATCCAAAAGTTCAATAAAACAAGTGAGAAACTGCGTTTAATGGTATGCGTGTTATTAACGTAAATTCACTTACCACAACTTCTAGTCAGAATTACCTTACAGTCGAATTTGTAGGCGGGATTGGTACCGCTTCTGAACTTTTAAAATCACTAGTATCCTGACGACTTAGGCGTAATGCTGGTTAGTCAGGGAGAGAAACACCTCAATCCTACAATATTCACAATTATCTATCTCTTATTTGTTTTTATAATAATATCAACACTTTCGCTCCAAAACTCCCGCTGCCTCCGTTCAATCGTCCGTCATCCACTTGTCAATGTCACATAGATTACTTTGGCTCTGGCCTCTGACGTTCCGTTTCAGGTTACATGATTATTGACTTTACCATTTTTAATTAATGGTGCGTCACACGATAGTTAACAATCGTAATATAAGAATTCTTACTTGCCGTATTTGTTAATACATGAACTATATTATTTTATGGTCCAAAACGAAGTATTATCTTATTCCTTATTGAATTACGCCGTTATACAAAGATAACAGTATTGCTATTATGTCTATAATTTACTTTGCCAGAGGTATAATTAGACGGACTCTGGATTTGACAGAGCAAAATAATCAATCTGTAGATGGCATGAATAATATGGAGGTACCAAAATTAAGGAAGTTTCAATTTATAATGTCATACAAATTTATTACCTGATTATATTGATTGCATTTTTTTGGTTAGGACGTTTATTGCCACTAGGCAATAAACGTCCTAACCAAAAAAATGCATGTGTATATTTTGAATATAGAATGACTTGAAATTTAAAAATGATTTTTAAAGATAATACAGATAATAATTTTAGGAAGTTCGTCCTCAAACTGACTCAATAAGAGTACCAGTAAGTATACATAACGAATATTATTTTCATAATACATGTTCCATCCATCCACGATTGACTGTATCAGTATGCGGTAGATAGAATCTCATGCTCTAACCACAGCTGTACACGTTTTGTTTGTTGTTCTTAACATATGGTAGAGCCTCGTGACTGTTACAATGTTATAAACTATACTCGAATTAACAAACATGAAGAAGTTAAATTTCAAACAAGTACTAAGATTTTAGTAGGCACAAAAAAGTGGGTGCAAGAGAAGAGTTGGTAGGAAATTAACTCATAGGTCTTTCATAATGGTTTTTACCATGTAATGCAATATTTTTGTAATCTATTGTAATATTATGAAGAAGTAAATTTGATTATTTTTGGTCACGTGTACACTAAACAATAAATTTGAAACGGACTTTATAAATTTCCTGTAGGACATGCAACCAAATTACTAGTTTTGTAAAATGTGTTACGGTATATGTTACTTTATTACTAGTGTAATCTAATTTCAACTGACCTGCGCTTCCCCCAATCCCAGTTCAATGGCGTCAATGCTCTTCCTAACGAGGGACGCCTTCTCATGTTCATGGTCGGTATTGGCTGCAAGTCCAGCAAGGAGTTGTGCGTGCTCGGCACGCAGTGCTTCGAGCCCGGCTGCGACAGTTCTCGCGCCGGCCACCATCTCCTCCTGCGTCATCGCCGTCATCCTGCCTAACGATTCGATCTTCTTTCTGTCAACAAAGAAAATACATATTTAATACATGCATTATAAACAAACTTCTAGATGGTTCTCAAATTCAATTAATTACTGCCGTATATCTTACTAATTCAGAATTTTGATTTAATGTAAAACTAAATCATAATTAACTAAATTATTCATTACCTAATAATATAAATACAAAAATAGTTTAGTTTGTTACGTCATCCGTACTTTATGGCTTAAACAATCATCATGTGTGTTATTTAGCATTCGGAACAGAAGCCATAGGCGCTTTGATTCATTCGAACCCAGTTTACGAGAACGAAGTCGTGGCAGTAATTATCTTCATATATAACTTAGTAATTCTGTAAATCGAAAATATGCTTTATAGTATAGTATACTATAATTATAGTTTAATGAATTACGCATCTGACAATAATGTTAGAAACGTGAGGTATACAAATAATAGCACATCAATAACTTCGACAAATAATAAAAAGGACCTCGATCTGTGGCTTCGACACATTAAGGTAATTGGATCGAACTCGCCTCTCGCCCACCTAGTACTATTTAAACATATGTATACTAGTATACACTTAATGACACACATTTTATGTCATTACATTGCATCAACGTGTAAATTATGATGAATACAAATGACAAATAAAGTTATCATTTAGATTGAATTCGATTAATACAAAAATCATTACGTTTGAATTTAAAAAAGGGAAATAACATACGTATTTATACTGTATCATTGTGAACTCCGCGCACAACTGATTTAATCAAATCGTTTGTAATAAAACAAAGAATTTTGCTCGGTATAATGCAGTACGATAACCATATACTGCAATATAATGCAACCTATTCACAAACCAATTACGCTATTCATCAGTTTGTATTGTAGTATTTCATTTGGTTAATATATCAAATATTTTTACTTAGTACTCTCTAAAGTCGTCTTGAAGGGTATCTTAGTCTAAACTTAGCTGTCAAGCTCATTTGGTTTATAAGCGAAATTTCTGCTGAAGAGTCGAGATAAAACAGTGAAATTACAGAATACGAGTCATGACACCTGAGTCTTCCGAAACGGATATGTGGTATCAAGGGTAGCACATGATCCAAGTATCCATGGTATTGTTCATGTATATAGACAAATTATATAATACAGTATTTATAACAAATTGTATCCGTAAGACAATCTCTGATTATATTGGGAATAGATAGCGCTTTGTTAAATGTTCAGGGATATTATTATTATTACAGACTAAAAGAACAAGAAAATTGAAACGGGTAAAATTACTGAAGAAAGTACGGTCAATCATTCAATCAATAAACGCTACTTGTCGATAAATTATAACTACATTTATTATAATATATTTTTTAATTTAAATGGGAAAGATAATAATCTCACTATGAATATTAAGATAATCTTTAATAGAGATTGACGGGCATAGAAATCAAGATTGCAAAGACAGACAGATGAAAGACTGCCATTGTATACTTGATTCAAGTATAGATACAATTAATATGTACTTTCTATTAATTTTCTTCTAAAGTCACTATTTATACAGCTGAGATTAGAAAGTATATTAAGTGTTATGTAGATAGTCACTGGCGCCAGCGACAGGCAAAACTCCAATGTGTACAGAGCATTTAAATTCTCAACTAACTACAAATTACGGAAATCGACATTCTCGTTTTTTTATGTAGTTTACTGAATGTGTTGGTTATATGAAAAGGACATAACTATTTAAAATCTAATAATAGCATTGAGGAATGGAGAAACATTTCCAATAATCATTGGTCGAGTACGCGAAAGTCATTTATACTAACCGATACAGTATTAAATGTTATAAAGCGATCAGTAAAGGTTATAAAGACAAAAATAATTTAAGTACATATTCATTTTCCATTTGGACCTCTCTGAATCCAGAACACCTGACCAAACTGTACCGTTTAAAAATTGCCTAAACGTGACTGTACTATATTATAATTATTATACTTATGATAAAAAATATTAATAAATTTAGCATTACAATGATATAGTGTAGTAAAAAGGACATCAAATACAAAGAATATATACAATAACCTACGAGTTGTGGGTGGGAACTGAAACTGGAAGTTGTGAAACATCAGGGGTGCGCCAATCGTTATAGGATATTTGCCGTGGGAAACTGGCGACGGATAAATGAGATCGGATGTATCTGTGAACTCAATATTGATGTTCTCGTATCCTAATATCACCTCCCTAATAATTCGTTTGGTACAAAAAACGAATCAAGCTACACTAATATTATGAAAAGCAAAAATAATATTTTTTGAATGTTTGTATTGACATAATTTATAAGTGATTTTTTTTTATGTAAATATATAAATAATAACATAGTAAACCAATATAACTAATGATACTCATGAATACAAATGTTTGTACCGTGCGAGGAATCGAACTTTTGACCATCGGAAGTCTAGCGGCGTGCTAAACCACTAGACCATCGAGGTCGTGTCGTTTTCAGCCAAGGTTTCAAATATACATTATTCCACGACATAGGCCATATCTACAAAACTCACAAAGTTATAATGTACTGATCGTTAATAAACACGGTCAGGGTATATTTTTTATTACCGTCTCATCATCATCATCATTTCAGTTCCATAGCAGTTGAGCATGACAAACACTAACTCTCAGCCCCGGACTTTACTGACATGGCTTAAATTTTTGTTATCATCTGAATTTTCCAATATTTTAATGTTCTTCAATAAAAAAAATGGCTTTCTAGACTAGTCAAATTACTTTATTTTCATCCGCTCGAAAATAATCTAAATCTAAAATAATCAAATCATTTTTAAAGGAATATCTTTTATATTTTCGCATTTTATCTTTGCAGTTCAAACAAATGCAAATTGCCCAGATAAAACAAATATAGCATTGTTAGAACTATAAAAACGACAAAAATATCTGTTAAATAATTTTATAAAATAAATTCAATAATAGTTTTTATTTAAAAGAAACACTAAACCATATATAAATAAATAAAAAGTTAAAATTGATGTAATGTGTCTTAATCCACATTGATTAAGACACATTACATCAATTTTAACTACCCTACCCTATTAAGACACCTTAGATATTTAATAGATACTGTATGCAAACAAATTGTTTACACGCCTTGTATATTGAATATTATTCATGAAATATAATAAGTATGTATGTCACGTTTTATAAATGAGATCGAAACGTCGTATCTACATAGGAAATCGATGGGTAACTGTAGTTTCTGACATACTTATTATTTTAATACGTGACAATATTTTATATATACAATCATATTTCGAGAAATTGGGTTTATAGTACTTCCTGCGTCGTATATTATAGATTATCATAAATATAATATAATATAATAATAATTAAAGTGGGCTGAGTAAATAGAACTTTTGTTTCTTTATACATGAACTTATTTATGTCAAGGGGTATAGGTATTTGAACATAACACACTATCGGGTATATATATTTATATATATACATAATATCATGCACGCTGTCTGATAAATCGTTATTAGTAGAGTATGCTGAACTTTATTTGGCACAAACATGATTAATTGCGGTATTTTGTAAACGAACTTAAAAAAAACTTAATAAGACTACACATTTTTGTGTGTACAATATATTACATTCGTTTATTTCAATAACGCACATTTACAAATTTTTATGTTTTCAAGTGATAATATTAAGCAATTTAAGGTACAGAAATCGAAAATTTTCATAAAATTAAAATTCACTGAAACTCAAAACAATGAACTGGTTAGTACACCAATATGTATCAGGAACGATATACGTGAGGAACGATTCTCTGATCATACGGAATAGGAGACTTGGCGTCTAACAATGGATCTCCGAGCCATGTGATCATATGTTGGGGTCTGAATTTTCCACTATAAAGGCAAATAGTAGGTGTGCAGGTGTAGTACGGTATATGCGTGACCTATGTGCATGTGGTAACCTCCAAAATATACATCATGTATAGAATCTCGGACATAATACACTGTAAGGACAGTATGGGAATATGTCTTGAAGAAAGACATCTATGGTGTATTTCCATTTATTTTGAGTTTTATATATAACACAGAATTATGCTGTTTCTTGGTCAGTCACCTCAAGGAGGAAGTTCTAAAACTGAGCCGCTGTCAATTATAATTTATGCCACAGACAACAAAACAACACAGATTAAACAGTTTCATTACAGACTAATCCGAATCTTGTACCATTACTTTACAGATAGTGCTTATTTGTGATGCCATTCTTGAAGATTAGTTAATAATTGACGTTTTATAGCAGGATCGTACGTGACATTGTTATATCATTTGCGTTGGGATCTATACTAATGCTATGAATTTAGAGAACTAAAGAACTCATAATTAGTTTTCTCTAACTACCATGAAAAATACGCAAATTATACCAACACATATAAAAATTCTATATATTTCACGAACGTAATTTGGTTAAACACAACAATATGGCAATGTGTAGTATGTCCGTGTACGGACACAAGAATTTTTCATTAGCAAGTTATTCGGCCTTGTGACGTTAGGTAACGTTAACATATAATAGTAAATAATGTGCCAATAGTATCTGTTATTTACTATAACAAAGTGTCAGAGATATTTCAGTGTCTATTATATTCCCGTAATAAGAATATGAATGCGAATGTGTACATGTCTGTTTATCATTTCATGTTCAATATATGGCTGAACGAAACTTATTGAAATTTGACATGAAAATTTATTGTATCACCTAAACTAAACCAAAACTTAAATTTAGTGCCGAAATTTAGTTCAGCGCTAAATGTGAATGCATCCAAAAATATAATATAACGTCAATGTATGTAACATCTAAATATCTTGCAATTTGACTAGACACGTGTTAGTATATGGTATAAGAACTTTGCCGGAATCCAGTCTGACACCTCTTTTACGGTGGGCGGAACGGGCAACGTGGGGCACATAAAACACCGGTCGCCATGGTTACCAAGGGCTACAACCCTCATACCCACGCGTTATACAGCGTTGGAACTTGAACGAGAAAATTAGAAGGTACATTACACTTTCGAGGTTAGGGCCTTTATTGTCCAAATCTCCAACAATATTATAAAGTAAAATATAACTACCTTATTTCATATAGACTAATCAAATTGTATACATATACTCGTAGGTATATAAAAAAGGTAATATGTTTTAATTAACTATTTAATATACCGTACAAACCAACACACAAAATAAAATCAATATTTTTATTGTGTTTTAGTGATTATGCTTTCCATTCAAGAAATATTTCCTTTGTTCATTGTTTACCATTATAATATTTCCGTGACAATTTTTTACTCTAAATTATGCGCAGCATGCCTATATGTAGATATTATTAAGTGCAGAAGAGGGTTCGTAATCAATAGCTTTTAGTAGACAGAAACTATTCGTCTAATATCAAAGTTACGTTCAAAAGTTATCAACGTTTCCAGCAATTTCAACGATATTCCCTCGCTGTTAGTTTCCTTACGCTGTGACTATGCCGTAATACAAAATGAATCATTATTGATTATATTCGCTCGCATCTGTGGCAAAATAAAAGTCGTCGAAAAGACATACTGATGCATCGCCAATTTATAGATACTGAGTCACTATTTCACTGTACAATGCAGACTAATAAAAAGCACTACATTCAATTTAGCCGTTACGTGAGTCAGACAAAAGGATGTGTAGCTGTAGCAACCCTAATGCAATTACTCTTCGCTATACAAAGGACAAAGGCTAGGGTACCTAATCGATGCGTCTAGACATATAGCCTACCACAGGTTCAGCAATAAAATCCGGCGTCCAGCAGGCGAGAATATCGCCAACTTTACGATTCTGCTTTATTCTAGACATGGTTTATTTTCTGGAAACGAGATAGATACTATTTTATACTTGAACTAGCTACCCGCCCTGGTTTTGTACGGGTGTACATATATTATATACGAGTATATAAACCTTCCGTTTGTATATCTATTACTAAGAACTGCATTAAAATCCGATGCGTAATTTAAAAGACATAACAGACAGCATTTTATACTATGTAAATATTTTGTTTTAAGTTTGACGCGGTCATTTATAAGTATAATTAGTAAATCAGGATCTTATCAGGTTTTATTTTTATTCAGTTTACCCGTGATTTGAATCACTGGCGAAATATCAGTACTCAATAAAAATAAAACTTGGTAAGATCGCGTGATTTACTAATTATACTTATATGTATGTATCATGACATCGTAATTTAATAAATAATAAAAAAGGACGGATTCTAAATTTCAGCATTCATTTTATTTAAATAAAACGATTTTGTAATAAGAAGACACCCAAAAACAAGTTTACATGATGTCTATTTAGACTAGATAGATTGTCGACGCATTGCTGACTTTTACTATTTGTAAAAGTCAGCAATGTGTCGACAATCTATATAACAGATTCCAATTTCAAAGGCTATCATCGAGCTTAGACCTTTCCAAAATATATTTCCATAAAGACCGGTATTGAACCATGTACGTGCGTCGCATTCAAAAAAGTAACGTTATTTATTGATATCAATGAAGTTAATAATAAAACAAACCAAAATTGACATTTTTGAATTAAAACTGTTTTCTCAGTTATTGGATGAAAAGTAATAACTGGTATGATATTTGTGTCCTACAACGTTTGATTATTTCATATTTGAGTATTCCTAAGAAGCCTATTCAGTTTATATTTCACATATGCAAGTATAACGTATGCCTTCGCCGCAATTAATTACTTAATCACGGATATTATTTATATTAGTATCTACATCTAACTTACAGAAATAAAATTACAAATAAAAATTTTAATCAGAAACTTCATATAATTTAATTAAAAGAAGTGAAAGTCTTACATGTAATATTTAAGTTTCTATTCTATTCTATTCTAAGAATAACGGATTCTCCATGTTTTATTGATTATTATTTTATTCTATGCAAGTGAAGTCAATAATTGGTGACCAACTTACATTTTTATATCTGTCTAAAGAATCTTTTACAACAAGCAAAATCATTCCTCGGTTTAACGAATATCTATAACGAGATCAATACGACATTTTCAGCCGGCAATTTTTCGGATGAAAGCTTCGCAAAAGGTTAAGGACAGACTGTGGCTAAAGGACGAAACGCTTTTAATAGGAATTTATGTAATGGATTTCTAACATAATAGAAATTTTTATTAATTATTACTATAATCGTAATATGTATGTATATTAAAAGATATATACCACGTGTGTTTGATGGAAAATATATGTTATGCTTTTAAAACATTGTTACTATAATCATAATGCAAGGGTCTATTTTCAACGACTAATTAATATAGATTTTTATGAAACAAATTCCAGATAGGTAATCTGATGAGATGTCTGATCCGTTTGCTGATAAGGATTGAACCGGACTTTTTTACAATTTTGGGGATATTGGTGCAGAAAAAGTTACACTAATTTCATGAATAAATAGTGCGAAAGTTGTTATTTGTATGTATACGTATGATTATTTATCCGAATTATTAATTACATCTTTATTTGAAAAATGCAACAATTGAAAGGTACATAATTTCTGACGCACAAAATTTTGTAACCACAATTCAATTAGATTTACTACGCATGTTTAATATTTACGATAGATTTGGAAACTATATCTAAGTCGTTGTAATAGTGTTGTATAGTAGTAGTTTGATAAATGTAGGATTCAGAGTGTTTAACGTAAAGATTAGATAATAACAATTCCAGTTTCTCAATCGACCAACATTACTTTTTCGACATTTGGTAACCTTTTATAGGATCTTACTAATGCGAGATGTCATATGAAAATCTTATTTGAATTTAATTTTATTAAGCTCAATGCAATCAAACATATTTACTGTCACATTTCCGGCCCTAACAATTGGATCGAAGTCGAATTAAAATTAAAATGTTAATTTTAAAAAAATTCATTCTCTTCCATTTGTAAGTAATATTTCAAATAAGAGATTATTTTTTAATATTCAATATATAAAATCATATATATAGAAATCAGCAATTATTAAAAAAAGAGGAATCACCTGACCTTAATTTAATTTCCATTTTAATTATCACAATCTGAATCATAATCCATAGTAGACATTGAGAGAAAGATTAATTGGTCACATTTTTTCTATCATAGATATATCACAGACATAGATAACAAATATACTTACATTCTATAGGCATTCAAAGTCTTCGACATTATACTGCGGTTGTTGTACAAACTAACATTAAACCATTTCACTTCACTAATTAGATGTTATGAACGGCATTCTCCACGTTATGTACTTATATCACAATTACAATACTTGCACTTAGTAAATAATAATAACTGTAGGTAACACGACTATTTTAATACGGTCCACTGTAATAGAAACTATAATAGGGTTGGTCACGAAACGTATCGCATGAATACACTTCTTGGCGACCTTGGAAGGACAAGGTAGTTAGTAGCAAGCTTTACTTAATTGAAAACAAAGTTATTTTTAGAGAGAAAGATAATTATGATGGTATATGGTAATCAATGAATACATGGTACAAATACGTTTTTTCTAATGGTACAGAATGTATTAATCGATATCTTGGGCTAACGGCATAGCTGATTACTCTTTTTATCACCCTCTAACTGTGGATGTTAGGAAGAATATGAAGTCGAGTCAGTTAGCCCATCGTGACGTAACCACGAAGGATTAAACCGGATGGGATTGCGTGTAGCTCGACCTAACATGATACATGGGTAGCACTACTAATGTCGCTTAGTATTTACTTGTTAATCCCCCGTATGTAAATTAAATAAACTTTGTAAATGATAATTAGTACAGGTCCTCCACATGAGACCACGTGTGATTCCGGTACAGACGGGCTGGAAAACAAATGTCTTGCCAATTGTTGCACAATTTCTAAACGCAATGCGATAACACTATACAGTTCTGTAACACGCGACAGAGACGGACATACAAACTGAAGTGCAAAAATAGATAGACTCCTACGCACCTCGCCGTGTGGCGTGTCGTTGATCCCTTTGGATAATTTACACTGTTAATGTATTGATACATTGTTTATTTTGTTTTATATCAGTTGCGATTTTATTGGCCTACACTATATTGCAAAAGGATAAGAAAATTTTCTAGTCACCTTAATCACTGTAATATGTAGTGAATTATAAAAGTATAAATATACACTTAAAAATATGATAAACAACAGGCTTAAGTTAAATGAACAGTTAAGAATTAAATATATAAACAACCCTCATAAATACAGGTAAATTCATAAGGCAGTTACTTCTTAATATTAATACTGATATTCGATTAATTAAAAAAAACTAGTATTTTAATTACCACTACCAGCATCTACAAATTAATATAGGTCAAAGATTGTGTATATCCGAGGAAATTAATAGTTTGTCCTGTCTCTCCCCCTCAAGACATCCTACAAGATCATCCTAATTAATTCCTGCTGAATTCGTCATAATGGGCAGACCTGACTGATCTCATAAGCTTACACCGCTGACCCGCGACTTTATACTGTCTGCCCAGACGGGAACACCATTCCATTATCATCCTCATCGCCAGATTAAGTATTGTGTATATTTTGATAAAATGTAAATTCATTTAAATAATGAAATAAAACATCTGTGCTATTTTTATAGAGTGGCTTTAAAAAGAGAAGTTGCAAATCCTTACTCGATGATTAAATTTCATAATCTCGATTTCATTAATTTTATATTAATTAAATTGGAGAACGCGTAATTAGTAAGTCTCAAAGGCAACATAAACTATTTGATAATGCATGACTAGCTGGAAATCACGCGATTATAGTGCATCTAGAGAGCGAATTGCATCAACTTTCTGCTCTATTCCGGCAATTGATTTCAGTTAACTGCATATCGCTTCCATTACAATCACAATTTTCATAAGACAATAATTTAAATAGCAAATACTTTAATACTTTCATTTTGTAATAAATAGATAAGAATTAAAATGGATTAGGAAAATGGAAAGAGAAATGAAAAAAAATAAGAGATTTATGGATTTTGACATATCTCTTTGTAAAACACTCAAATATATTTTGTTGAAACAATTGAATTTCCACGAATTTACAACAATCTTACTAATATTATAAACGCGAAAGTTTGTGAGTATGAATGGACAAATGTTTGTTACTCTTTCATACAAAAACTACTGAACGGATTTTAAAGAAAATCTACAGTTATCCTATCCCTATCTTATTACATTAGAATAACACATAGGCTGTAAATTTCATACCGGTGAAACCACAAGGATGCTGCGACGTTTACTAATAAGTTATAATATAATATATATATATATATATACTCTTACATCTGTATAAAATTGGATGTTTCCAATCGTAAGCAAACATAACGAGATCACATAATACAGAAAAATATGGAAAAAATTGCACTAATATTTTTGCCAAATTTAATTTAATAATATATAAGCGTCGATGATAATCAAATTTATTAAAGCAGATAAAATATGTGTTGCTATTGCAAATCTATTTAAAACATGTAATCTGATTGAGACGACATTAAATAGGACATTGACATCGTTGTCCGCATGCAATATGACGTCGTTAATCTTTTAAGTCTGTATAGACTAGTTGTTAAATGGGTCAATCAAAATTTACATTTTCTATTATAACCGCTGCATTTCCCAAGGTAGGTATCATAAGATAATTTTTCTACTAATATGACATATTAAAATAATCAGCAGGTTAGCTACAACTTCATGTTTTTTTATACGAATAAATTATAACTGGTTGGTCTAAGTCAAGAAACGTAATTTAAACGTAATCTGCTAAAAATATCTAATAACACGCAAGTGATATTAATTATTTAAGGATATGTAGGCATCTATATATACATTTAAAATATAACTAAACAGAGTTTAAAGAAAACATTAACGTTATTAAAAATAAAGACAGAGGCAGAAAAGGTTTATTTCTTTTAGCTAATTTAAAAATCTGAATATATATATACTACATGACCATATATAATGTGAATGTGTAAATGTGTGACAGAGTGGTATTTAAATATAGAGATTTTTGTATGATTTTTAATATCTGTAGATATTTAAAATCTTCCACAATTACCTCTAATGACATGGGAGATTTGTTGCTTGTGACTAATCTAATCCTACTCATTACATAGTATAAAATTATGTCGCTGTCGCTGTGTTTCTATGTATGCTTCAATCTTTAAAACTACGCAATGGATTTTGAAGCGGCATTTTATAATAGATAGAGTGATTCTAGAGGTAGGCTTATATATATATAATATAAAATTATTGATATTCCGGGTAAGACATGTACCATAAAATTTCAAGGTTTATTGAAAGAAACATATTTTTAGAAATATATTCTTGTAGATTTACGTTAACTTTTCAATAATAATATATCCTTTGTTTCAATGAAAAAAGAATAATTACCATTATTAATAACATTCTTTGATAAAATACCGTGCTCTCTCATACTAGAAACGTTCATAGGAATTTTAATTATCTAGCAACAAAGAGAAAACAGATTTGTATTATAATTTTTACGCATTATCACCGATCATGCTTCGAGTATAAATTCTCTGATAATTTTATGTAGGTTTGTCACTGCCCGGTGATTGTTCTACACTACATTTGCTAGGACGAGGTCGCCATTTGTGATTTTTTTGTTACCAATATTAATACATAATAAGTATTTATGAATACCAATGTGTTGTATACGTGCCAGGTCAACCAAATGAAAGCTAATTAATTCATTAATTCCTATAAATATTAGATCGCAATAGTCTCAAAGCCAAAATAAATACACAGACAGACGAGTAGGTTCTATTTTTAATTTATAACATAAAAAAAATAATTTAAATTTTAATAAATGCTTACGTTCAAGAAATCAAAATGTTAGTAGGTACAAAAACAAAGATATAAAATTCATTTTTTTGTTAAATTTATACTGATTTACGTTGAGACCTTCAGAATAGAAAACATTAAATTTAATAATCGATCATACATTCAAAGACCTCATTACAGTACGATAAAATGTAAATATATACGAATCTCTGATAAACACTAACATATTGACATACACTACAATACCACATGAATGAAAAATAAAATAACAAAAATGCTCATGAAAGCTAATTTCAGTTTCAGACGCTGCAAATGGGTTAATGTTATAACTTCCAAGGTTTCCAACAAATGCACAAACACAGTATGATTTCAAAAAGGGATTACATTAGAAAATTCCGGAATATAATATACGCGTAAATTATTGCAAATGTGTCAATTTTAATACCGGTTCGCGAATATTTTGGTAACACGTCCGTTTGCGTATGAAAGCAAATGCGTACTAAAACGAATCGACTGGGGGTGGCCTAGTGTGGCGCACGCAGGCAAGCGCCACTCGATTAGCATTATCGAGTCGATAGTACAAAACGGTGACGGATAGCCCACAAATATGGGTATCGTATTAATATCTATTACTTTCCTGATAATGTAAATTTATTATCAATCTTAATTCTCTATTTACAATTTATAAATGAAGCTATATAATAAAAATCAATAAATGATTCTTCAAACGCATTAAAGTTACTGTAATAAAATAAACTGTACAATTATTGTAAACACAATCAATAACATTTTAAATAATTAATCTATAAAAATCTCGTTATACAAATCATTGCACCGCCCTAAAGTTTTCCAATCGCGTTAACTGGGGTGGCATGGCCACCCCTGCCCCATCTACCTATTGCTTTTACAACTACATGCGCAGACGGTACAAACACTGACGATGCACAAACTCACACACGCATAAGCTGTAAAGGGAATGCCATGAATCATGATTTCAATACTTGTTTATTTATATACTTACGTAGATAGAAGGTTTTATTCAGTCAACCTGAGGTCTAATTATGTAAAGTAGTTGTTAACTATTATCGTTTGTAACTTCAAATCTACACTTTTGCTATAATTCACACACAAGTACAACCCTATCGATTTTAATCATTTGAAAAGGGAATTTGTTTGCAATTGCATTGCATAACAAAGCAACTGAAACTATAGTAATATAGTAACGAAACTATACTAGTGATACTTAGTGATACATATTTGTACCAATATTTTGAGTAATAAAAAAAAGGTTGCGGAAAAGTAATTACTATTTGGAAATTGTTAACGCAAATACTTATATAACTAAGAATAATATGTTAGTAAGTATATGGTATATAAATTCAATGTAATAACATCAATACGAATAAACTGATTCGTTTCAAGAAAACATGCGAAAACAGCTGGAGTGTTACATAAGTAAAGTACAAGGTCAGGTGAATCAATAAAACAGACGCCAGTGAGTCTGAGGGTAAATTAAAAAAACCTATAATTATATTAGTAAGGATAACGAAGCAATGAAAAAGTTACTACAACCACACATCTATTTAGATTGTGTTTGATTAATATTAGTTTAACTAAATTAATTAAATCCGAATAGTCATTACCCATATTAGTTACTTATTTCACATAGACGATGTATAGTACTGTAATATTATTTAAATTGCATACAAGAAACTTCACTAAAATAATATCAGGTTTTATATGGACTGCAAAAAGAATCATTAACACGATTGGCGAAGACATCTAGTAACAGATGTACCAAAATTACAAACAACTTAATACTTCTTTAATCAAAGTTAAAAGTACACAATCACTTGTTGTTTGGTGTCCGTTTGCCTAGTGAATTTCTAATATCGGCAACGAATCAAAGATTATTGACAACATCACATTACAATGAGACAGTGAAAGGTTTTTCGCACAATGAACTAAACAGTTGTAAAAAATAACAACCGAGATAAGAAAATGATAACCGATTGAAATTAAATAGAAACTTATTTACTACATTCTACTTTCACCAATAACGTTTACTATATGAGAAATGTAATATTTGCAATTAGTACTTTAATATTTTATTAATTTATGGATAACGAAATAAATTTTAGTCAAATTAAGTTACTCATATACTACACTTTAGAATAGCTATAGAAGTCATAATTTTACACCATTATCCAACAGTCCAGTTCCGCTAGCTACTTCAGCTGAGAAGAGAAATAATTTTGTTATTTAATGATTTTTTAAAATATCTAATTAAAATTTTAATGAATAATGGCATAATATGATAAAGCAAAACAAACGCAAAGTAAATGAGGTTGGATTGGGTCGGCAACACGCAAGTGATACCCCTGGTGTTTCAGGCGTTCATAGGCTACGGTAACCATTTACCATCAGATGGGCCGTATGCTTGATTGCCACCATCGTAGTATAAAAAAAAAATAGAAAATTACTTTTCTTTGGTATCATTTCGAAACACTAGATCTGCAGCCAAACAATGTAAATACTGTATGAAATGAATATGTAGAACCAAAGAAACAGGAATAATAGAGAAAACTGTCACTGCAGCCTGTGACACGATAGTATATGTATATTTTATCTTATTAAGCATACCTTCCTTTTGTGATAGCAATAGATATACCACGATCAGCACAACAATCGGTTTTATAGAGTCAGTTAAAAAACGAATAGAACATCCATATTTTCAAATTTCCCTAGAAACAGCCAGATTTCTTCAGATTGACAAAAATGACGGGTAATGTACAAGAAAAAATACAACTGAATTGAGAATTTATTACCACCTACTACGTTTTAAAATCAAAGTATACTAATACGATTTATATAATTAACGAGATTTTGGTTTTGTCTAAATTTAGAAAATTTTAATATTTTTGCAACACATGAATAGTGTGATTACTTCTAAACGTTATACTAATTATGGAACCGTTACGCTGTGGTAATTTTCCTAATATCTACTTTTACCCTTGGGTCAAGAAGTTGAAGTTGTAATCAAGAATTTGTGTAATAAACCCCGCACGTAGTAACTGGTTAGTGAATAAGCTAAACATATAATTTAGAAGGAAAAGTTACCAGTTTCCAGGCAATACTCGTAAATTAACCGTTTAAATGCACTAATAGTACAAGTTTTCTATCTCTTCTTAACATCATGTAATTTGCTGAGTTTTACCATTTACATAGAGATAGCGTTATTGGAATCGTCTTTTCATGTGTCATTAAAATTCAACTAAATTGTTTAGAAAGTTAATTATCAAAACAATGTTTATGCAATTACGTTTTCAAATAAACATTAGTAATATAGTTAAACGGGTTTTAATTATGTTAATAATATACGTACGAAAGTATTCAAATAAATAATTACACCAAAAATATTATTCCAACCTGTAAATACAATATGTATTCTAATCAAATAATAATCAGTATCTTTATTATAAAATATATAATATATTAAGCTTTACGACAGTATTTTTTTTTATATTTCCAGTGCTGTACACATATTGACATGTTGGTAACCACTAGTTACACAATACTCTGTCGCTTATCATTGAGGTAGAGAAAAATAAATTTTATTCTAAAGCAACACGAGTCCGATCTTACATTAGTTTTTTTCCACATCATATCATTCAAAAACGTTACGTAACTTGCTTTAAACAAGCGTTATATCAAAAATAAATTATGAGATAGATTCGTTGGTCAACATTCGAGAACAGTCTACTATCAACAATAAAAAAACTTGGCCAAATGTGCGTAATAATATTCTAAAGTATATGTACGGAGACTTCGTTTTCAATACTATATACATAATGAAGCTTGAATAACGTATACAAAGCTTTAATGAATTTAAAACAAGCGTGACTAATAAAAATCTAGCAAGTCCGAAAGAGTTCCGTACTGTATTAAAGAAACTCGTTATTCCACAAATTTTATTTTTTCGCGACATTGCATATATGGTATAATATTTAATAATGAATGATACCCAATTTATTTATAAGAAAATATATGTAAGATAATAATTGCATATCAATAAACCAAAATTGTACTTGGCAATCTTGTCCAATAGCCAGTGTTTTAACGAGACGATTGCGAACAGGTATGAATGGAAGAGAAAAACATATTACGCCAACCCAAAATTAATGGTTAAGGAAGAAGCAGATGATGAGGAACCAGCCAGTGATTTTCAGCCAGCCAGCCAGAACTAGCCAGTGATTTTTAACCGTTAGACCGCGAACTCATGTGAGTCTGTGAACATATTATGTATGATGTTGGTAATCCTATCCTATCTGTGGACTATTTCATAACAATAAATGCCATCAAGTCATTACCGCATTTTTATGGCAGTACATGAAAAGGCGCTTGTTTCCTAATCGTCCGAGAGTGAAAAAGGTTTGATAATAATAGTAGTTCTACTTTTTTCCCTATATATTTTCATTTGGACCCTAAATATCGGAACAAAGGTAAAAGGTAATAGGTACGTGAGAGGAACTCGCAATAAATCATATGCGACCTTTTAAAGTCGTCGACCAGATAATTGCTGGAAGTCGCAGTTCGTAATGACTTCATAATGGGCGATATCCATTTGTAATTAATCTCGACACGACAATAAAATGACGGTAACACATTGTCAAAATTTTATTTAATACTAGTTGTTACTCGCGACTTTGTCTGTTTTGTTTGAGATAAAAGATAGGCTAACTCGTGATACAATTTATCTTCATGTAAAATTTGATTCATACGCTTTCAACTATTAAATCGTGAAACAGTAACAATCAAACCCGGGTGGAATATATCCAAACTATTTTCTTATAATATAGGTTCACCTCCAAGAAGTAACGCCTAGAAACCATCGTGATAAATTTCTGGTTTTGTCACCGGTGTCCCGCCAGCGTAAAACATTAGCGCATACAGGTGTACTATTCCATTAACTTCCGTTAAAAAAAAACCCTCATAGTGTAATTTACAGACTTTTAAAAATATGTTAAGTATTTATTGAGTTTCTTACAAACGAACATAACAATAAACAGCATTTCCTCTTTATAATATTATTATAGATAAATAAACAATAGTTTTTAAGTGAGAGAAGATATCCACATTGATTCTGTTTATCTGTTAATATTTTTTATAATAGTCATTGTCTAAATCAAGTGTATGTAGCACTGTATTCACTATCAATAGATATCATTAACAATATTCTAAGCCATATTGCACATAAACAATGCTATTTATTAATTTGGGATTATTGTATTTCTATTTTGGCAGTATGCTTTGACGAGTGAAATAAAAAAAAAACTATTCGTGAACCCTGAGAGTACTAGATATAAAATAATTACTACAGTTAATATCCCAAATTTACTAAACTAGATTTATATAATTTGGTATTAAATTTAATACTAACAGATTTGACTGAAATACTAGAGATTTCTTCTTTTTTCTTGTGGTTTT